GTTCACTAGTTAAAAAATATAATTTCTCCATACGTTTTGAAATGATTGAAACTAAATATGTCATTGAGATTTTCAAGAAATATTTCAAATATCTTCGAATGAAATCTACAAGAAATCTTAAAAAATCTGTCGCTCGAGATATTTAGCAAAGATCACAAAGAAATATTTAGAAATTATTCTATGCTACTAGGGGACATTCGAAAGAGAGGGTAAAAAATGAGTTATTAATAATTCGGGATCAGAAGTATGTGATTAATTCGAAAAATTTTTTGACACTTACAAATGTTTCTTGTTTGCAGATGCGGAAGTTGATACTATCTTTCATGGGAGACATCCACCTCGTTGGTACAGGAAAAGGTTGCGATTAGGACCTGCTAGAAAGATTGTTTATCACCCTGTAGTTGTTAGTGACACCGAGGTACAGAGTGGTGCACCATCCGCTTCTGCAGGTCTTGCAGGTGGAATTTACGCTCAAACTGGAGCACAGACGCAATCAGATGTAGGCACTGTTGTGAAAACTCATAAAAATCCATCATTATTTGACGACATTTTTAACGTAAGTCTATAAATTATCCTAATCAAATTTTTAATCTATATAAGTTTTCTTTTCTTTTTTTTTCATTCTATTTCAGTCTTATGAGACTGAATGTATTATGTATAAGAATAAATGTATCGTCGCTTCACTTCCCTTAAACATGACTTATGTAAATTAATCCAGTAAACAAGTGAATTGCCATGTATAGATTAATAGATTCATGTAATATCATTTAATGTTTCGTTTTTGCACCTACATTTCTTTTAAAACGATAATAGAGTAAATGATGCTCCAGAATTTTCTTACTATTCTTTAAAAAGCAATTCACTCTTTAATTCCTGTTACTTATATTTGTAATTGACCAAGGCCGTACTTCCAGTATTTATGTTTTCGAAAGAAATACATGTTATCTCATGGAATTGATTAAGCATACCTATGTAACGATATAAAGGAGTACGGCATTTCAATTTCGCTATGAAAGTATTGTGTAGCTTCTTAATATCATGTCTTAATAGCACAACTTTTTTAAAGAAGTGTAACTACATACTGATTATATTAAGATAATACAATGTATTTCAGTACATAATTTTTAATCCACAAATTTAATTTCTAGTAGTTGGACGATAAATCAAAGTAAAGTTTTTAGTACCGGGCAAAAATAGAACCCATATGTTATTTCTTTTACAATTAAATGTTTAGGTCATAAGTAAAGTAATTACCCTGACTCATACAAATGTTTTATGTTCTGTTGCAGATTCCAATATCCACCTTAACTGCAGTTAATCAACTGTTGAGAAATAATGCGGGTTAAAATGCGTTTTGTTGTATAGTTTTGACGGTCGCATAACCTACAACGATAATTCTCAAAGAACGCATTTCTCTGCCGGCATTGCAATCACCGCATCAGTATGGACACTAAAAGTTCTTATAATTCCGTCCAATAATGACATCAATCCTAGTAGCATAGAATAATTTCTAAATATTTCTTTGTAATCTTTGTTAAATATCTCAAGTGACAGATTTTTTAAGATTTCTTGTAGATTTCATTCGAAGATATTTGAAATATTTCTTGAAAATCTCAATGACATATTTAGTTTCAATAATTTATAAACNTTTACGATTTGACATGACGGCATGCAAAAAAGGAAGACTCAAATTTACTTTCAATAAATTCGGACACTTCCTAGTCGAAATTAGCCCTGAGGTGCTGTCCGTTTTGCAAACTTTATTTTTGATAAATCAGCAAGCAATTAAGTACCCAAGGCACGTTTTTCAGGGACATGCCTTCACGTAATTCAGGTACGTGATTAGGATGTTATTGTCCGAAGTTGTTTTCAGTCCTTTTACTGGCAGTAAAATGCATAAGGAAAGACATTCAATTTTAATTGACAGTAAAATGCAAAAACAAAGAAATTCAGTTTTTATTGGCAGTAAAACGCAAAAGGAAAGAAATTAAAATATTAAAGTACTATTTATAATTACCCAAGGATTTGAAAACCATTCGTTAACCGAATTTTTTCTTTTGCCACACTTGCCGCGTCTCTTTAGATGTGCATTACATAGATTTGGTAAAAAAAGAAATAATGCTTCGTAAATTGCGTGTGTTAACAAATTAGAGCACATATTTCACGATTTCATGTCAGAATATATATTTAAATGAAGAATCACTAAATTAAAAAACCTTTCGCAGAATAAGTTGAATTATAGGAAGATAAAATTTTTCTTTTTACTTCATTTTTATAAGTATTATAGGTACTTAAAAGAAACTTAGCATTTTCACTGTTTTAGATTTTAAATGTTTAATGCCTATGTATTGTAGTGAAAGATGAAATTTATATTAAATTCATACCTGAATATGTCGTTACTCACATATGATATATTATAGGTTTATAATATCACGTACAATATCAAAATAAGCTACTATAAATGAATATAATTATTGAATTGCCTTATTGCTATGCTATTGTCGTCAATCAAGTTTAAAATAAATAGATAGTCCTAATTGAATACTGAATGACAACCGATGTACAGAATAAGTTAAATGCTTTGTAGGACATTCAATACTAAATTCAGTAATGAGTTTATTCAATTAATGAACATGAAATAAGATCTGTAGCTTCGATGCCCCTTAATACATTAGAACGGTGATAATTACCTCAATATTTATACTTGAATTAATACTAAATATTTTGTTAAAATAATAGATCAGTCTTACTTATTCCGAGCCCAGATTGGTAGTCTTAAGCCTACGAAACAATGAGACACCCTGTATATGACACATATGTATTATTTGTTGTAAGCCTTAGAAATACATCCTTTTCACTTTCTTATTGAAACCGTAAACCTTCATTTATCCGTATTAGGCGTTTACCCCTTCTATTGTTATTGAAAAAAAAATGAAAAACTGATCCGTGTACCACTTATTGTTAGCAGAGAATATGATTGAGCTTTCGTCATTCGTAGACACGTAAATCTCTTGGTATCACCTCGTGTTTCGTTAAGTCTTAAGGTGAAGTGAAACACGTCGAGGAACTTGATCGACGTCGATAAAGAAGATTTTTTTAAATGCCTACGCCTGCCGACGTTTGTTTTTATATTGATAGCTGTGTCGAATTATATTGGGTATTGTACCAAATGGCATACTCCACCTGTCGTTTTCGTACAATAATTATAAAGAAATCGAAGTAAAACTCTAGAAATCCTCTGGATTCGTGCTTTCTGAGGCCCTAATTGACTGCAGAAGGACACCCTGCGCCATCTGTGATTTCCAGGTCAATTAAATTTTCACTCCGACACCTCGTATTCCCATCGTTTTAGCATAGAAGCATAAAATTATTATATACATATTAGCATAAAATTTTTTCCAAATTTTAAATATGTCAGAACAATTCTTAGATGATCAGGAGTGATGTGTCAAAGTCTCGGACAGTTTGGTATAATACCCTGTAAAAGAAAGTGTATTCGAATCGACTGATTTGAAGGGGGTTTCTCTTCACCTTAAGCCTTGAAGGTAACAACTAATCATCGACAGTTCGAAAGATCGATCCATTATGAAATTTTGAGTTTTGCGGTCAACGGTGAACCGACAAATGTGACGTCCGCAGATACTTCGCCGTGAAGAAACTAATCGAAAGTGAAAGCAACAGGATGTCGTAAGCTGAAGTCAAGTTCCAGGCAGGCTAACAGAATCAGTTGAACGCTGCTCGGTGAATCCACCGGCCGCACTAAAGTGATTCCCGGCATTGGTAAGCCTGCCAATCCTTGTCTTCGGCAAAACGCGCGGCCGCCATTTTGGTAACAGATTCGCTAAAGAAACGAACGGACAAGCTGAGAATCTAAGAACTATCTATATAATTTATGAGTCAGAACGTAGGGTATTTATTCCCTGATTAACGAAAAGAAACCAACGGGCAAGCTGAGAATCTAAGAACTATCCATATCATTTATGAGTCAGAACATAGGGTATTCATTACCTGATTAACGAAAAGAAACCAACGGGAAAGCTGAGAATCTAAGAACTATCCATATCATTTATAAGTCAGAACGTAGGGTATTTATTACCTGATTAACGAAAAGAAACCAACGGGCAAACTGAGAATCTAAGAACTATCCATATAATTTATGAGTCAGAACATAGGGTATTTATTACCTGATTAACGAAAACGCCCTTGTTCAACCCTTTGCAGAAAAACAGGGAGTAAACTCAGCCAGAAAAAGGTATGAAAGACGAAACCGGTATATCTACCAATAGTCAAAGAAATAATTTACATTCAACATTGAATTTAATTTGGAAAAATACAATATTAATTCATTCACCTATATCTTCATTCTTAGGGAAGTGTTAATATCTATCTTTTAATATCACGCAGTGGGAATACTGCAATACCCACAGTTTGGGCCTTTTCATTACCTTCTATATTACATCAAACATTCATTATGTTGAATGATTAGGTCGAAATTTACTCTCTTTTGAATAGAACTTTCGTACACCATGCCAATGGTTCTGATTATCCGGTTAGCCCTAGTAGCATAGAATAATTTATAAATATTTGTTTGTCATCTTTGCTAAATATCTCAAGCGACAGATTTTTTAAGGTTTCTTGTTGATTTCATTTGAAGATATCTGAAATATTTGTTGAATATCTCATTGACCTATTTAGTTTCAATAATTTATCAACATATATAGAAATAATATTTTTTTAATTTATGAACATATAATAAAAATACATTTTTTACTTCACGACTATTATCGGACACTTCATTTAGTATCAGAAAACACGAGAAATTATTTTAATACTTTCGTTCCGCTATTTCATTATGGGAGCAAAACATGTGATTTTGATTTTAAATATTTTTAAAACGTTTACAATGTATTCGGAAGATAATATTTAAAAAATACTTGTATTAAAATGAATCGAAATGTTTTGTATATCTAGTAGAAAAATATTATGAAATCACATGGAGGTAATATTATATAAATATTATTGAGATAATATTCTAAAGTAAACGTTTTGCAAATGTTTCAAATGTCTGGTAAATATTAACAAAATGTAATATATTCGTTAAATATATAGAAAATATAGGAGAAATATTTTGTGCTACTAGGGCGGGCCCACGTTTTATTTATTATTGCTTAACTTTGCTGTTTTTTATGTCAAAACGTAAAGAAACCTGTGCTGCATCCAGCGTCACCTTTCTCTTCTCGAGTGGCGCAATTGTTCTCATTAAATAATTACATTACTAGGTGTACTTTGAATGCAATCAAGGCCGCCTTCCAGCCTTTCTAACCAATAATAATCATAATCATAGTTAAAGTCTAAAGTTACAGACGTTCTACCGCATAAGATTATTATTAATGAGCATGATCTCCTTTTAGAGTTCATCACTCCCTTCTTAGTGACAACTGAGAAGAATTTTCCACGTCAATTATCAATCAAGCTAAAATTACATGCAACAATGTTACTTCACGGGTCGGTGGTACTCTTAATTTTTTGCGGATGTTACGTAATTGGTAGACCGTCGGAAGAGCCAACTAAATTCGACCTGATCCCAAAAAATCATACTCTCGAAGCAATTTCTGTAAGAGTTCCAACAAGACTGCAACAAGGAAAGGTGAGTTGAAAATAAATAATCAAATTAATTAATATCCTACAATGTACCCAGAAAAAAATTAAATGTCTCTAACTGGAATTATGAATTAAATGAATTTTTGAAAAACAATTCTCACTGCGTAAACTTGCTTGCACAATTGCCATTTGGTTCGGTGAATTTAGTTTTCCTTACGTTAATATCGGTATTCAATTCGTGGTCAAGTACACTTTCATATTATAATGAGATACAATGCCACCGGTGAAAGTGCTCAACATTTGCACACGCCTTCCCTCAATGTAGCTTGAAAATTCTACTCTATCGATAAATGTAAGAGCTGAGAGACTTATTTTTTGTTTTATATTCTATACGACATATTTAAAAAAAAAAGAATTTAATTTGTTATTACCAGTATATGGCTCATAAGGATGTAAAACTAAAACCACTGACTTCTACAATTTCGCACAAATAATAACTTTTGAATCATTCACCGGCAAAATTAAAACAAATCACATCATTTTATATTTAAAAGACAGAAACCAGACGGAGACTTGTCAAGAAAATGCGAATCATTATTTATTTTAACAAATGTGGAACGTAATCAGTGTTATGCTTAAAAGTGACCTTTAAATATATGTAAATGCATATGAATGTATAAATCAATTGTTGTACTGAAAAATTCGGGTAATGGATTTTTAAAGATCAATTTTTGGCAAAACGAGAGGCTAATTTAAAAAAAAAATAATTAAACAACCAGTCAAAATTGTTTTCGGTTTTTGTAGGAAATATTAGGGAGAATCATGGACGCAATGAGGTTTGGCAGAGGGAGATTAGTCAATTCGGCCTCGATGGCCAGAAACATCATTGCCAACCGAGTCGAGGTAATTAACATAACGACACAAAGATGTATAACACCGATTTTGTTTGACAAAAATTTATCATACCCAATAGTCTAATTATTCAATCGTAATACAATAAATCAGAAGTAGCTCCCAAACGATTGACACCGAATTCCATTTCAAATATCGTTAAGCTCTCTAACTTCACTATATTTCCAGATATAAACGATTAAGTGAGTTTAATTAGAACAAGTGAAATAAGAATATTTAATTGCTAACCGGGAATAACTTTCAATATACGGTTCGATTACACAAAATATGAAAAATTGATTTGACAACCTACCAACAAGTAACCTATTTCTCTAATCCACAAAATAAAACATATCTTCAATTTATATTCACATAGTACCCAAAAACTGAATTATTTTTACAAGCAATATAGCAGCATACATTGCAGCGTACATAGTATTAGAGAGTTGTGCACTCGGTAAGAAGCGTCAAGCTTTCAAATGAAAGTACTGCATAATAAGAGCTAATTTACAGCCCACAAAATAGAAACATTTGTTTTGCCTACTTACGAAAAAAGGAGAACGTATCTCAACAGTTATTAACGCGTATTCTAACAGATAAAAAAAGATCTGAAAATCACAAAGCATAATTAATTTTCCAAACTAATGACTGAAAAAAAATATATTTAAAATGGACAAAACACTAAACCTTTCCACAAAATATTAAATATTGAAACCCAAACGTGAACAAACTTGCAGTACAATTTATTAACCCTAACTTAATTGTTACCCTGATGCCAACATAATTTTAGATAAGAAATTAAAACTGTAATTTATACACTCACTTTCATACTGTTTTGTAAGTCTTAGACTACAATACGCTACTTACATATCAATGGCTATAAAAAATAAAAATATACCGTTCGAAATTAAAAATACTGACAAAACAAATGCATTTACTGTTAAAAGTACCAGACACTATTTTTTTCATCTTCCAAATGTGTTTCATTCCTCAACAAGTTATGGAATCGTTAAATGCTGTATAACCAATTGATAAAACAATAGTAAAACTATTGTATTTTTCATTCATTTTCATAACTTGAAAATTTATTCCTTAAGAATAACGATAACGATATCAATCACCTATCAAGGCACTCATTAAATAGTGCTGTAACATCCACAAAGTTGCGGATGTTAAAACGAATCTTCGAAATATTATTATTAAATTCAAATCACAATTTTATTTCTCCTACCCTTCCTTTATACGAGTACGCAATCTGCAATAATGACACTGGGTAATGTATACCCATGTGTTACCACAAAAGACATCATTGACACCAAACAAGTCTTGATGCCAATCACGCGTCATTACAGGAGTCGTGCAAGTTACTAACAACCGGATTTAACGGAACCTTTCATAAAAGAAAATCAAATTAGAACGATGTAACATCACTAATTGCATGGAACATAGCAGATTTACTGGAAAGTACTTTTACTGAATAACTGACCGTAAAAGATATCACGATCACCTGTTCGCATAATTATCGCGGCTTGGCGCAAATATTGCACAAAAGTTACCGTAGTTCCTGATTTGCAATATGTAATCATTTTAGCATAACAAAAATAAACCTGTAATGGCTACTGAATTTTTTAAAGGAAGCTGCCAGCGAGGTGCAGAACACGGTCATTTCTGCGATCGCTGCCAAAGGAGACATTCTGTCAGAAGGTCGAGATGTCATTACGAGCAATCTGCCACCTAGGACCCGTGAAACTGTCAAACTAGAGAAAGAGAGCGAGCAAGCCATCCTAGAACGACGAAAGTCCAATTCAGTTTCTGCGGTCTTGGAAAGCATTCTCAAACCCGTGCCCTTAGTTGACAGAATTCGCGAGGAAGAAAAATACGGGAATTCCGGCGACAGATTTTCAGGAATCGGCAGAGCTCTTGTAAACGGTTTCGAAGGATTTAGTAATTTCCTAAACTCCGTGGTAGACGTAAGTATCAATTCGCGTTTGCATGAAAGGAACAACTATACTAATTCCACCTGTCCCTCGAGTTCATGTTCTAATGTACGGTTTCTCATGTCAATTCCTATTTTCAATGGTCAGAGAACTCATATCATATGCACTGAACATAAGCACATACAATATGTAGAATCTCCTTTGAAATTTCAAACATAAGTATATGTTTTTCTTTCAACAGCTACCAATTAATGCCGCCAAGAAAACCTCTCGAAGCTTTACGGAAGCTCTTAATCAGCTGGGATCACGAATAATTGGCCTTCAATGAAAATGTAAATACAATCGGTGTACATAAGAAGCGAGTGAAGATGTAAATACACGTGATTTAGTGTAAAAATAAGAATTAACCTAAAGGTGGTGATGTGACAATTCAGAAGTTGAAAACGAGATTAATTTAATTATTGTATCTTATTCTCGTGCAAAGGTCAAGCTAAGTAGAACCTCATGAGGGTTAATTAATGTCGCACAGTGTCGTATGTAAACTGTCGCGCGTGTAACATGTTATTTATTAAATACGACTTACATGACTCTTTACAGCGTAACAACGTTACTCGGTTAACCGCTAAATATAAATATCTATAAATATCTGGTTGAATGGTCCAACATGCCGAGACGACTCTTATGATCTAATGTCCAGCCACTGGTGAATACGTGCCACAATGTACTTAAATTAAATCTTTGTATTCACTGGAAGGCTGTGACTCTAAGGTCTGTTGTATATACAATGGCGGACATGAATGCCTCCCCTGCAGATACGACATCGCCTGTACAGGATGGGAGGGCATTGATGTCTCCCAGTATACCCTGCGGACATGAATGCCTCCCCTGCAGATACGACATCGCCTGTGCAGGATCGGGGAGCATCGATGTCTCCCAGTGTACATGCGATGTAAAATAACGCATAGTCAACATTCAAAATGACGCGTTTCAATCATTCTCTTGATAGGACTTACTAAATAAATAATATTTTTAAAATCATGCATGGAACAAGGCAATTTAACCCATTACGATCAACATGAAACAGTATTAAAGAAATTGGAATATAAAGGCAACAAGGTAATAAAGAAAAATCATTAATAATCCAATTTTTTAAACCTGTAGATAAAAAATCCTCACTTTTGGTCCACTAAATTTCCCATAAATAACGTTTACTTGTCGATAACTATCAAAATATAAGGTCAATATTAACATGCACAATTTTTTTAACATCGCGGCGGGTTAAACGTGGTCAATCAATTGACGCATTGTTACGGCAATTATCAGCAAAGTGGACTCCCCCTCCGATTTCAATGATCTTAAAATATGTTATTATGGGCATTTTCATACAGTACGTCATTTTTTATTGTAATATGTAATGTAGGGTTAAGGGTAGTTTATGGAAGCTGAGCTCCCCAACTCCCCCCGCTTTAAACATAACCGAAACCTTTCTACGAAAAATAAATGTGTTGATTTCTAAGCAATTTTTACATTTTCCACCTATTTCTAATGTGTTTACATTCCATTTGATACATGTAACAACAATGAATTCTTGTGTTATAAATACTAATCGATTACATGAATAAAACGTTAAAAATGCCCTTGAAAAAATGCCCTTAATAACACATTTCAAAGACATAAATCCAAGTGGGAGTCTGTTTGACCGATAATTGTCATAATTTCATTACTATATCTATCGGTAAAAGTAAGCTACATAAATAGTGTATTAAATGTATCGACTTTATACACGTAGGCGCTCTTTAACCCTAACTAATAATTCACGGAAATGTTAAATATAATATTCGCTGCTTCACTTGTGGCAACTAATACCAGAAATTATACCGACGTATTGTAACGAATACTTTGGAACGACCGTATGAAATAGATGAGGAACACAACTTTAATTTGTGTACTACTAGATGTTAGAATTGAGATTGCAACCAATACCGTACTTTAATAATCAAACCTTCAGTCATAATATTTACAAGTTTATTCTGTCCGGTTCTTAAACTTCTTAATCCCTGTTCAGAATTCGTTTTTGAATTTGTTATTAGCATCCATTTTACCCAAAAATTGACTACATCAAAGATGATAATGACAATATTCACATTTTGTTTTAGACCGATTTTAACTAGAGATACATTATCAAGAACTGTGAACTACCACTTTGAAACAAAATACTGTGCACGTATCCCCAATGAATCTGTGAACATCACTATATTCCTGAAAAAAAGACAACACCTTTTTGTTCATTTTAAGTCAACTACATACTGAAACCTGTCCTATGATTAACATGATTTATGAAAAAATAATTTCATGACTAATATTATGAGTAAAACTTTAGGAAATAGCTGGTTAACAGATTTGGCGCCAGGAAAAAATAACAATATAAATAAAATTATGTGGATTATACAGGTCGATTACTTAATACAAAACCAAGCGGTAGAGATTCAATAATATGCTGAATCTGCAATTTCCTTCCAACGACAATTCATTAACACTATTTATATAAACCAAGTATTCACGGGTACGTCTTGCAGGCATTTAAATATACATCTTCGGAAAAAGAACTTAAATTTCACAAAATAACTGGCAGTTCAACGGAAAAACTCTGCCTTTGCAATACAAAACGACGTTGATAAAAATTTATTCGGAAACTTAATAATCAGTCGGCTGGATAATGTTCCAATTCTCAGATAAGCTAAAGAATCTGTATTATTGTGCCATTGCTTATGCTACTGCATATATTACAGGCCCACACATCCCTATGTCGACAATTAGGAATTTAATAACGTATATTATGACAGGTGAAAATCAAGATATTTTCGGCGTCAAACCACCGACAATTGTGACTGTTTAGCGTATCCAAAAACCCACACAAAAATTGCACTGAATCCCAGCACCTAAATGCTGGTACATTGTTCTCCATGAACATTGTTCTTTTAAAACAACGGTAACTATGGTTTTTAGCCAGCAAACAATTCCCTTTGCCCTAAACGTCAGATCTTTCAACACTAAAAGTACCGAGCTCAGTAAAAATGACTGGTTTCAGATAGCCCACCACAGCCAAAAAAAATTCCCCGGTAATTCCAGTGTTAATCATACTGTCGGTTCAAAATTCTCTTCCATCCCTCCAATCGAATCTATTCACAAATTCTGCAACAGAGGCCCCCTAAAATGATTTCACCACGTTCTGCGCTCATCTGTACCATCTCCCAAATTTCTTATTACATTTTAATCGCCGCCACACGTGCAAAGTAAAATTGCACCAGGTGACATAAATCACCAAAACGCTAATAACACTTTTACATGAACTGCAGTCGTTCGTGCCAATTCTGCAACAGAGGACCCCTAAAAGGATTTTACCACGTTCTGTACTCACCCGTACCATCTCTCAAATTTCATTTTACATTTTAATCACCGCCACACGTGCAAAGTAAAATTCCACCAAGTGACATAAATCACCAAAACGCTAATAACACTTTTACATGAACTGCAGTCGTTCGTGCCAATTCTGCAACAGAGGACCTCTAAAATGATTTCACCACGTTCTGCACTCATCTGTACCATCTCCCAAATTTCATTTTACATTTTAATCGCCGCCACACATGCAAAGTAAAATTGCACCAAGTGATATAAATCACCGAAACTCTAGTAACACTTTTACATGAAATGCAGTCCTTCGTGCCAACGGTAACCACGATACTCGGTCATTAAAGATCCGACCTTCGAAGAATTACAGAACCTCGGCATTAACAGTTTATTGCGGTAATTCAGGAGAACATTCTCTGGACTCTCATTTGCCGTCATACGTAACGTGTCCCTAGAACGGAACCACGTTGAAAATTGAATCTTACGATCATATAAACCCGCCTTTTTCAGGGTATCACGAGACAGAAGCCCCTTCAGCTGATCGAGGATCCCGCCGAGGGTCTGAAGACCCCATAGGCCAGGATCCTCGAGTGATCCTAGGTCGTCGTATCGTAACTCTTGTACGTGTGTGACGACCGTTTGTGTCTGACCGTACAAAAAAGGATCATGCTGGCTATCAGCCCGAAAAGCTGAAGAAACGCCACGACGAGGCCTACGGTCCCGACCACGTGAAGTCTCGTCACCAGCCACATTTGTATAGCCGATGAACATCCATCTTTGTACCATAATTCCTTGTTACGCCCTTCGGGGTCCAGCCGTCCACAGTATCGCTCTCTTTTGATGCAACAAGAATCGGGAACTCGATCTTCTGCCGGCCAGGCCTCGATCTGGAACCAGTCGGTGTAATCCCGGACACCGCAGCAATGGAACTGAAACACGAAAGATGACTTAGTCGTTCGGCAAAAGAATCACTTTTTCAGATCAAGCAAATCGTAATCCAGATCCCAATCCAATAGGAACCAGTCGGTGTAATCCCGGACACCGCAGCAATGGAACTGAAACACGAAAGATGACTTACAAGGAAACATCCCCAAGTGTCCGCCTCCGATCTTATTCAGTTTCATATATGTTGAAGAACACAAAAATCTAAGAGTCACGTGTTTTTTTATATCTGCAATGGTCCACATTTAAGGGGTGAAACAACCCCCCAAAGTTTAGCGAAAAATCGATTTTTTAAATATTTTTCGTAGGAGCAGTGGAGGGATTTCGACGAAACTTTGCATAAACGTATTCTGTATAAGGACGGTGACAACACGATATTGTTCCGCAATGTTGCACCCCCTCAAAGGGGGGGAACTACCCTTCAGGTGACATTTTTTTGTAATATCCATTAAACAAGCACTCCTACTTAAGTTCCACTTACGCGATGTGATTGCTCGCAAAAAATTAAGAAATACGTGTTTTTTGCTTTTTGTCAATAAATATTTAAACATCAGAGGCGGACACTTGGGAATGTTTCCTTGTTAGTCGTTCGGCAAAAGAATCACTTTTCCAGATCAAGCAAATCATAATCCTACCGACGGTCATTGAACAAAGAATAATTCTTATTCAAGACATGTTGCATAAGAGCGGCTGTGCCGGAAATTGATGATCACCTCTCGTAGAATTAACTACTACTTAAATGTTGCTTAATCGTCCGTCTTGTACGAGCAAGTGCGAAGGAGAAGGAAGTCATTCGTTTGAGAGTAATTCTCAAATCTTCGTGCTAAACTACTTTAATACGAAGCTCCAAATTTGAGAAAGGGATGAATAAATACCATTTATGTAGAATTCATTAACGTTAACTCACGTAACAAATACTTGCGATGTAAGTATAATTCTCCTTTATCCCGATTATTCATTCCTGTACTATTTATGTAATATGTATTAAACTATTTTACGATGCAGGGCGGTACGAGGATGTTATGACACATCTGTATGATAAACGAGTAAAGATTTTTCAGAAACTAAAAATCTTGACCTGGAATTTTTAACTTTAAGTGGAGTTTTCATATCGGACATCATCGAACCTACATAGCTGTAAATACTATGAGTTTCTCGCTCAAAAATGTATTTTAATCAGAATTCAAGGCACGTAGAACATATCTTTATGATAAACGAGCAAAGATTTTTCAGAAACTAAAAATCTTTACCTGGAATTTTTAACTTTAAGTGGAGTTTTCATATCGGGCATCATCGAACCAACATAGCTGTAAATACTATGAGTTTCTCGCTCAAAAATGTATTTTAATCAGAATTCAAGGCACGTAGGACATATCTCTATGATAAACGAGCAAACATTTTTGAGAAACTAAAAATCTTGACCTAGAATTTTTAACTTTAAGTGGAGTTTTCATATCGGGCATCATCGAACCTACATAGCTGTAAATACTATCAGATTTCAAGACACGTAGGTGACAGAACGGCGGGAAGAAATACACATAGTCGGATGGGAAACCGCAAGGCGCTCTCCCCGAATCTGGAACGAGGAAATTGGAGCGGTCCGTTCGTACGGAACGAACGGAAGTTTAGAAACCCTTTCTCTCTCCTGTTCCTCACAGGAAGTCTCTATGTCTGAGCCGTTTTTTCCATCCTGCGCTTATCCAAGTCGTTAACCTCGAAAAGCTTTCAGTAGCGGAAGTCGTCCTTTTTTTAAATGATTTGAAAAAGAAGAGACTCCTCCCAATGCGATGAGTAGTGATTCCAAAATCAATTGTATTTTTTTAAAACCGCATGTCAAAGTTTAAAAGTGACAGACACCTTCTGATGCGACAGATATTTTACATCGCCCAATTAAGAGGATACTTAAACTATTGCTAGCATAATGCCAATTTGCAATATTAAAGATATGAATTCAATCTTCATGGATCATCTTCGCACGTGACTATAGTTATTTCATCGTGACACGTTACTCTTTAACTTGAGGTATTCGAAGTTCGAAAAGACATCACGTGTTTGCCAGATTTTTCATCCCCTCCTCATTACGTATACACAATATCAAGCTGACATTTCTAATCATCCGTATCCTTCTTCGGTACTAGACATCTGTGATGAGAAATTTAAAGATAGTGCTGATAACGTATTAGCGTTTACTAAATAAAGAAATAGCATGAATAAAATGCATGCATAAAATGCATTTGCCAGATTTTTCATCCCCTCCTCATTACGTATACACTATATCAAGCTGACATTTGTAATCATCCGTATCCTTCTTCGGTACTAGAGATCTGTGATGAGAAATATAAAGATAGTACTGATAACGTATTAGTGTTTACTAAATAAAGAAAAAGCGTGAATAAAATGCGTTTGCCAGATTTTTCATCCCCTCCTCATTACATATACACTATATCAAGCTGACATTTCTAATCATCCGTATCCTTCTTCGGTACTAGAGATCTGTGATGAGAAATTTAAAGATAGTGCTGATAACGTATTAGTGTTTACTAAATAAAGAAATAGCGTGAATAAAATGCGTTTGCCAGATTTTTCATCTCCTCCTCATTACGTATACACTATATCAAGCTGACATTTCTAATCATCCGTATCCTTCTTCGGTACTAGACATCTGTGATGAGAAATTTAAAGATAGTGCTGATAACGTATTAGTGTTTACTAAATAAAGAAATAGCGTGAATAAAATGCGTTTGCCAGATTTTTCATGCCCTCCTCATTACGTATACACTATATCAAGCTGACATTTGTAATTATCCGTATCCTTCTTCGGTACTAGGGATCTGTGATGAGAAATATAAAGATAGTGCTGATAACGTGTTTACTAAATAAAGAAAAAGCGTGAATAAAATGCGTTTGCCAGATTTTTCATCCCCTCCTCATTACATATACACTATATCAAGCTGACATTTATCCTTCTTCGGTACTAGAGATCTGTGATGAGAAATTTAAAGATAGTGCTGATAACGTATTAGTGTTTACTAAATAAAGAAATAGCGTGAATAAAATGCGTTTGCCAGATTTTTCATCCCCTCCTCATTACATATACACTATATCAAGCTGACATTTCTAATCATCCGTATCCTTCTTCGATACTAGAGATCCGTGATGAGAAATTTAAAGATAGTGCTGATAACGTGTTAACTAAATAAAGAAATAGCGTGAATAAAATGCTCAACCTCTGTGTGTATGTGGTCCCAAACTGCAGGTAACGTTCCTGGTTCCCTGGTAATGTTGTAGTGTTTTTCTATTCCGAAGAGTAGTTCCTCCTTCAAACTTCTGCCGAGATGTTCTCTGAATATGAAGGCTAACGTGCCCAGCATGAACTCGGCCAAGAACAGCAGTATTACCAGGCTGAAATACTACCAGAGGAACAGAGACCAATTCATTCGAACTCGAGAGTTGAAAGATCAGGAATATAATTATGATAATTATTTCATGAATACAGACCGTGATCAGCATACACCTGGACTGAAACCATGCGCCGCAGCATCCAAAAAAGGCGACGACAAATGTCACGCATCCAGTTGCCAGTAACAACGAATCAGCTGATGCAAAACTATATTGCGGGACCAGAGTGGTATATCCAGAATAAACCAATCGCAGCCAAATACCAGCTCCCAAAATCCCGCAGGCGCTTAACTGTTGAAGAACAAACATTTCTGTTAATCACAACGCATATTAAATAATGACTTTTTAGCATTCCACAAAAAGGAAGGAAATGATATATCGTAATAAGTGGAAACATGGAGATGATACTCCCAGTGTCCCCAGTAGCACAAAATATTTCTCCTACATTTTATAAATATTTACCAGACATTTGAAATATTTGCAAAACGTTTACTTCAGAATATTATCCCTATAATATTTATATAATATTACCTCCATGTGTTTTCATAATATTTTTCTACCAGATGTACGAAACATTTCGATTCATTTTAATACAAGTATTTTTTAAATATTATCTTCCGAATACATTGCAAACGTTTTAAAAATATTTAAAATTAAATTCACACGCTTTGCTCCCATAATGAAATAGCGGAACGGAAGTATTAAAAAAATTTATCGTATTTTTTGCTACCAAATGAAGTGTCCGATAATAGTCGTGAAGTAAAAAATGTATTTTTATTACGTGTTGATAAATTAAAAAATATAATTTCTCTATATGTTTAGAAATTATTGAAACTAAATATGTCATTGAGATTTTCAAGAAATATTTTAAATATCTTCGAATGAAATCTACAAGAAATCTTAAAAACTCTATCGCTTGAGATATTTAGCAAAGATTACAAAGAAATATTTAGAAATTATTCTATGCTACTAGGGGTATGGTGAAATTAACGCATTGTTTTATATACGGATCAGTCATTTAAAATCACGAAAAAAAGTAGCAGAATTTCGAGATATAAAATAATCGCCAAATGCAGTCACACACAATTATTGTGTTAACCACATTTTTGAGTTGAACCAACTCATTCATTCAGTTCATTCAACTCAATAATGAGTTGGAATAACCCATTTTAAGTAGAATCAACTCTTTCTTTCTCAGTGCATACATTCGAAAGCACTATTGTTCACAAGTCAATTGCCGTATCATTACGACTGGTAATTAATCCAGTTGATTCTTTTCCAACCCTAGCTTCCTCAGAATGCTAAAAAAAAAAACAATTCAAACGATTTGGACATTACATTAAAGCAAAGCTCTTTTCCTAGAAGTTAGTTAAATAAATTAAACTGAACGAATATATTCGTCTCGAGGATATATTTTAAAAAAAGTCAGACAATCATTCGGTACCTTGATTATTGACTTTATTTACCAATCAGTGTCACAGCTGATAATAAAGTATATGTCTCAAGGATATATTTTAAAAAATGTCAGACAATCATTCGGTACCTTGATTATTGGCTTTATTTACCAATCAGTGTCACAGCTGATAATAAAGTATACGTCAATGTTTTACACATTGATCAAGGGACTGATGATATGGCACTTTCACCCTACAGTTTCGAAATTATAATTCCTACAAGGTTATACCATTTATGCCCTGCTACACAATTTCCGAACGGTTAAATGTACATGATATGCAACATGTTCTCGCAAATTGGTCTTCGGTCGTTCGAGCCATACTGGTTCCCTCCGTAAAAACTTACTTAGCCGAGCCCGACAAAATGGGACATGGTTAATGTTATTTATTTCTGTTACCTTAAATCTTTAAACTAAACCCTAGTAGCATAGAATAATTTTTAAATATTTCTTTGTAATCTTTGCTTAATATCTCAAGCGACAGATTTTTTAAGATTTCTTGTAAATTTCATTCAAAGATAACTGAAATATTTCTTGAAAATCTCAATGACATATTTAGTTTCAATAATTTNCCAAGTCTTTCGTTGGGCCTTCGAATCTTTTATCATTTCATATATACACCAGTCATATCGTAACATTACTTTATGAACTCTTGAAATAGTTACCGTAAGGCGCATGATATTTCCTCCTAACTAGAAATACAAAAAAAAAATTAAAAAAAATACATTAATCGTCATCGAAAGTAGACATTTTCATCAATACCAGGCTTCCTGTACCACGTTCTCTGTACATATTACCATGAACATCTAATACATCCGTCACGGTACATGCAAATGTTATCGCTGCCCCGATTTCGTAGGCTTGAGCAGTTTCCATTGCAAATTAAGCATGAATACCTCCAATATGGAGGTACTCTAGAGAATCGAGATCCATATGGCAAACTAACAACTGAGAAGGGAAACAATGGAGACTTCATACGTTCTGTTCTCACGAGTACCGTGGATGTGAACCCTGCCGGAAAATAATCCGGAAAATTGACGTAATTAGATAGGTCGAGAGATAGCGAGAGAAAGAGGCGGATTATTATATAAATTCCGCTTTAACGCGCACTCGTAATTTGGTAAGTAAAAATTTCTATAAAGTCTCGCATGCACCAATGTGTTCATAGACTCAACGTTCCTTTTTTACGTGTTTCTTACGTACCCGTAAGAAACAATGAGCCAAAGAAATAATGATACTCACTTCACCTTGCGTGTACGTGCTCTGTAGAACAAACGGATATTGTCTGTTATCAGGTGCAATTTAACGTTAGGTGTCAACTAACGCGATTTTATCGAGAGTATAAAGTGGTACATTGAAGTTCTGATGTACTCGCATATCGTTTGCACGAAACGATTCCAATGACCGATCGTGTAAGATAGTTTGTAGTGTTAGAAATATAACAATGTGTGTTTTACATTTTAAAAAATGAACTATAAAAAACTGTTTACTGTTGTATCAAATTAATTATTGACCCTAATGTATGTGAAATCCATGCCCTCAAATAAATTGTTGTAATATGGTAAAATCTAGATTAAACAGTGAATAACAAAGATAGATGGGTAGGTTAAAGTGGTCTAATGTTCGTAAATACCGGAACAGCAAATGTACCTGAATCATAAGATTTTAGAACACGTACTAACACCAGTGATCCTAAGGGGAGAAATGTAACTCGATTATGCAAAATGGCCACGCTTAAAATATGAATCAGATATGGTACTACGAGTGGTGCAAACATAAACACAGTCGACTTATGTCAGCAGTCTTGTCGTTTTTATTTATTAGTTATTTTAAGACGTTAAATAATAAGTACCTCGGTGGTTAGTAAATGTACTCTGATTATCGCGCAAGTTTCCTTTAGACGACATTACAACGACCATTTGTGTAAGTTTAATAGTGTCGTACTTTTCCGCAAGAGTCGCTGGTGTTATCGTTGGCTAAGTTGGCAACGAAATGTAGGATTACTTTTATATGGATGTGGGAGTTCCTTATGCTACCTCATGGTACGGACATCCCACGTGCTCGACGGGTGCAACGAGTCTGCGTCATACGTCGCATGTCCACGACTGGATCGTGTTACGCCAGACCGCTAGAATACGGAGGATGCTGCCAAACCGGAAGTTTGCTTCTTAGATTATGTTAATCCTTCTCGATGCACCACCTCCCGTTGCACTCCCTTAAGGTGAAGTGAAACCCCCATCAAATCAGTCGATTCTAATACAACACTTTTTTTTAAGGATATTCGACCAAACTGTCCGAAACTTTGACACATCACTCCTGATCATCTAAGAATTGTCCTGGCATATTCAAAATTTGGATTTTTTAACAAAATTTTTTAACTTAGCCCAAACCAGAACCAAGATGGCGTCGAGCTCTGATATTTCGATCAATATACAATTATCGAAGGCTCTGATATGAGAAACGAAAGGGTCAGGACAATTTTACGACAATTTAGAACACTCTGGTAATCGATAAACTCGCATATGAACGGGATAAAGGCAAAAAGAGTGTTGTATACGCTTCTATGCTAAAATGATGGGAATACGAGGTCTTGGCGTGAAAATTTAATTGACCTGGAAATCACAGATGGCACAGGGGGTCCCTCTGCAATCAATTAGGGCCCCAGAAAGCACGAATCCAGAGGATTTCTGGAGTTTTACTTTGATTTCTTTATATTTATTGTACGAAAACGACAGGTGGAGTATGCCATTTGGTACAATACCCAATATAATTCGACACAGCTGTCAATATAAAAACGAACGTCGGCAACGTAGGTATTTAGAAAAATCTTCCTTAAGGTTCACTTCACCTTAAGGTGAAGTGAAAAACACCGAGGAACTTGATCGACGTTGATAAAGAAGATTTTTCTAAATACCTACGTTGCCGACGTTCGTTTTTATATTGACAGCTGTGTCGAATTATATTGGGTATTGTACCAAATGGCATACTCCACCTGTCGTTTTCGTACAATAATTATAAAGAAATCGAAGTAAAACTCCAGAAATCCCCTGAATTCATGATTTCTGGGGCCCTAATTGACTGCAGAGGACCCCCTGCGCCATCTGTGATTTCCAGGTCAATTAAATTTTCACTCCGAGACCTCGTATTCCCATCGTTTTAGCATAGAAGCACATGACACTTTTTTTTGCCTTTATCCCGCTCAAATGCGATGTTCCATAAGGTCCGTCAAACTTCGTCCAGAAATCTAATTACTTCTCTAATAAGTTGTTCGCGAAATTAAAGTCAATTTTAAAACACAATTCTACTTAAGTTTAGTAACTATCCGCCGAAGATGTCATTCGCAAAACTCCCTGAAATGAACATAAGATCAGCGCTATCGTGGAACCATTAATTTTAATCCAACTCAGTTCAGTTACGATTCGTTTAATCGTTCCGGTTACTCATCACTGTTCCTGACCATCATCGTTATGGCTCTTCTTCCTTTAGTCTCAATGACGCACTATGCGAATCGCATCGTACCGAATAACACTCTAGTATATCCACCGATTATTTTTAATCCACACCGAGAGATAAATGCATCGTGCCATCAAGGGCGTTTTAAGGTGAAGTGAAACACGCCGAGGAACTTGATCGACGTCGATAAAGAAGATTTTTCTAAATGCCTACGTTGCCGACGTTGGTTTTTATATTGACAGCTGTGTAGAATTATATTGTATATTGTACCAAATGGCATACTCCACCTGTCGTTTTCGTACAATAATTATAAAGAAATCAAAGTAAAACTCCAGAAAGTTCTGGTCTGGGTTATGTTTAAAAATTTGTTTGAAAAATCCAAATTTTGAATGTCAGGCCAATTCTTAGATGATCACGAGTCATGTGTCAAAATTTCTGACAGTTTGGTCGAGTACCCTTAAAAAATAAGTGTTGTATTCGGATCGACTGATTTTAAGGGGGTTTCACTTCACCTTAACGAGTCTATTTTTACGCTTACCACCAACAATCGGTAGGAACCAGTTCAATTTTACGGTTCGGATGAACCGTACAATTTTTGGATATTAATGAAGGAATAGAATGTCTTTCTTTTCCCGCAATGTATCTGAATTAACCTCAAGAATGTACAAAATTAACACGAAACAATAATTCCTAAGGAAACATTGCTTCTCGTATACCATTCGAGCAATACATCGCGGAAAAATCTGCTAAAAAATGTCGAACCTACCCTAATAAGTATTATATAAGTTACTTTTTACTATAAAATTGCATCTTCAATGACTCAGTACGTAACAGTAGATAAGATGCCCAACAATGAATAAATTATCCACTGTATACAACAATATATAAGGTTAAAGGCGTTTCAAGTATCCTTTTTCGCTTTGTTGCGATATTTATACGAAATTACATATTTATAGGGCTTTGTAGGATTAATTTCCTTTCACTGGAAGATCAAGACGGTGGATGTGATCCATTAGTATGCATCGAAAGGGAAGAATTACGAACCCAGATTAGGACGTTGAGGGAGCAGAAGACGTGCCTGATGCACGTGTATCCTGTGCGGCCCATCGTGGAATCCGTCGAGGTGTTAGCACACCGAGTGGATCTGCCGGTGTTTCCTAAGGAAAAGAAATAAATTAAACACGAGGTACGCAAGACGAAAGTAAACGGCTTGTTGCATCCCTTTGCACCTGCCGTCAAACTAATAACAGTATTTAAGGCACTGTAAATCTTTCCCCTAAACGCGCGCGAGAAATGCCCAAATGGGCCTTAATAAAATAACATTAAGTCCGCTAAACTCTATCACAGAAGAATATAAATATACATTAAAATGTGAAAAAGATGCCTCGCAAAGTCAAATAATAGTCAAAGAAATAAATTAAACACGATGTACGCAAAACGAAGGTAAACGGTTGTTGCATCCCTTTGCACCTGCTGTCAAACTAATAACTAATAATATTTAAGGCACTGTAAATCTTTCCCCTAAACGCGCGGGAGAAATATCCAAGTGGGCCTTAATAAAATAATATTAAGTCCGCTAAACTCTATCACAGAAGAATATAAATATACATTAAAATCTGAAAAAGACGCCTCGCAATGTCAAATAATAGTCGAGAGGTAAATCTGCAGAATTTATATCTCATCAACTGCTTTATTATAAATAAAAGGAGAAACTTCAGTATTTTGAGAGCATTGAATAGTTTGTGGAGGACAGCTGAATTTAGTATAAAATGTGCACATTATTATAGTGCCGATATTAACACAGTAATAGTATTATATTTTACTATATGCATACGTAATGAAACATCTACATGTAACACTACATTTACAGGGTCTTTAACGAATATTAGATAGCAACAAAATCTGCACTATCGGTATATCCGTAAATTTGATATTAACAATTACATTTCTTCCTTTGTCATTCTTAATATCGATCGAAATGATTAACAATGCATTAACAGTTATAGTATAACTTTCTTTTCAATCCAAAACTGGTCAAAATGACTGGTTGATAAATCTAGGGATACTTGACATGTTGATATTTAAAACTAAACTCCGTTTCTGTAAGCCACTCGATACGCGACATGACTGGATGCAATGACTGACATTGTGCTTATAGAAAAGTTGATTCGCATCTTGAAAGGTGTTAAATGTCTGGTTATAAATGTTTATTACCATTGTACATACGGTACTGTCCACTGACTAAGATTTAAATTACCTAGCCTTTTTTTCTGGCAATGAGGTAATCAACATCCGTACGCGGATATTTTTTGTTTTGTTTATTGCACTTGAAAGTACACTTTTGTGTACGGTCATTGAACCTTCCGACAAGAACTATCTTTGCCTCCTTCACAAGTCCGATACCTCCTTGAAAATAACACCCTTTCACGTAACGATGGAAAGTGATGGACACGAAAAAAAGTATTGCCATACGCGATACTGTAGACTAACTAACCATTTACAGAAAATGACCGAATAACGAGAGTAATAACCGACCTAGTAGACTTCAATGTAAATCGAGAAGTACCTAATCGTGTATAAGAAAAACCAATTTCTTATTGAAACAAACGGTCGTAAGTACATACTTTATTGCCCACTTCTTGTTCAATGAATTTCCCAACCATGCGATATTTCCACCTAATAACTAGTCATGCGACACGTGACTGTATCTTGCGCAAGAATCGATAAAATAGACTGTTTGTTGCCCGGTAGTGATTGCAAAGCTACTAAAAAACCCGATGACCAGTTCCCGCCACTGCATCTTCAACTTCCATCCAAGACGTTTCTTGGACGACAAGAAAATGTCCTAATTTCGCGTCAACCGTTACGTTCAACACCCTGTACAACATTCCATTGTTACGATAGTACCCAGGCAATCCACTTCCTTTTAAACTAGCCGAACTACGTCGACCTCAAAAACCCTGTAACAGAATTACCTAACTTACACCCACGGTTCAAACTTACACCAGACTCTCCAAAACTAGTTAAATCGATAACAACCTGCAATTCTAAAAAATATAACATTCGATCGTACCATTACTCTACGAAGAACTTAATCTTGTGCCAGTGTCTAACTGATATCGTGAGAAGCATGCGACATAAACAAATCCCTCGTTATTACTAAACGTCATTAATCGCCAAAATCACCACCAAGTGCCGACTAAAAGCCGTAAAAAACTCAAAGTACCCATTTGCATTTCCATTGTTACGATATTACCCAGGCAATTTACTTCCTTTTAAATTGGCCAAACTACGTCGACCTCAAAAACCCGGTAACAGAATTACCTAACCCACACCCACAGTTCAACCTTACACCAGACTCTCCAAAACTAGTTAAATCCACAACAACCTGCAATTCTAAAAAATATAACATTCGATCGTACTATTACTCTACGAAGAACTTAATCTTGTGCCAGTATCTAACTGATATCGTCAGGAGCATGCGACATAAACAAATAAACATAAATCCACATAAATCCCCAACAACCTGCAATTCTAAAAAATATAACCTTCAATCGTACCATTACCCTACGAAGAACTTAATCTTGTGCCGATGTCTGATATCGTCAGGAGCATGCGACATAAACAAAACCCCAAACAAATCCCTGGTTATTAATAAACGTCATTAACCACCAAAATCCCCACCAAGTGCTGACTAAAAGCCGTAAAAAACTCAAAGTACCCATTTGCCGAGGTCAGCCGTGTCCTTTAGATGCGCAAAAGACGCTCAACTTATAGCGCCGTTGATCGTCCAGCGGAAGTTACCGCCCGATGGGACTCCGAGTGGTCCAATCGGAGGCGACGTGGCCGCGCATGCGCGACATGACCCCTTCGAGGGTCCTGCGCGGCGCGGCTGGCACTATCCGCGAAAACCCCTCGCGAGGCGGAGGCGCGCGAAGATGCCGGTGACGATATACGACGCGCGTCGGCGGTGACCCAAACGCGTGGGCAGTCGTGCGAGCGTGGACCCCGAGCGACGAACCTCTCACCACGGAGATCCGCTTTGAAGTGCCGAGTCGAGTCGGCCGCGCCGCTCGATTGGCTCGGATCGAAGGAAGTTCCTCGGGCCCGCGCGGGCCCACACGGGGCCTTCTGGGTCCTCTAACGGGACCTGGAAGTCACGCTCCGGCCTCGACGGACCTCACCTACCAGGGCCCGCTGGCCCCAGGTGGTGGGGCACCGCTCGCGACGCGCTTCTCTTGCTGTTTGTCTCCTTCGTTCCTCAACGGCTGCTCGACCGAAGAGTTACCGCCCAACCGAAAGTTTCCGCGTCACTCGAGGGAAGACGCGAACGAGTTCTTGGCCATTGACATCTTGTTCTTCAAACCCTGATTATCGATTAAGTCCCGGAATGACGGCCCGCATCCGTAAACATTGTTCAATGATGGACATGAATGCCTCCCCTGCAGATACGGCATCGCCTGTGCAGGATGGGAGGGCATTGATGTCTCCCAGTGTTCAAAAAGCCTGTCGCTCCATCCAAGTGTATGTTTATAAAGCTTCGGAAGACTAATTCTTTAAGGTGATACGAAAGGGTATAAACGCGCGCGAGAAATGCCCAAATGGGCCTTAATAAAATAACATTAAGTCCGCTAAACTCTATCACAGAAGAATATAAATATACATTAAAATGTGAAAAAGATGCCTCGCAAAGTCAAATAATAGTCAAAGAAATAAATNAATATTTCGAAAACTTACCTCTAAACTAGGCGCGCCAAATAATTTGAAACTTTAGCACGTGATTATGGAGATCCTAAGGAAAAATGCGATGTTCGTGAAATTTCATTAAAAAAAAAAAACTATTTATCCCAGACCGGAAGCAAGGACACATATTTTTTGTTAAAAAATGAAATTTCATGCAAAACGTCCATTATCAATACTCAAAGCGTTGAAATTGCTTTTGAAAATTGAGGAATGGATCATCTTCGATTTACGGTATTTTGACATAAGACAATTTGGAAGGATAGAAAAGATAATACGGATTTTGGACGATTAAAACTATATCGAATTGCGAAATTGAATTTATCTGTAATAGAAATAAAATACAGAGAAAAATGATATGATGGCGTTTATTTTTTCAGTAGATTTAAATTATCGAATATTAGAATTAATATTGGTAAAAAAGTGTCCTGGGTGTCTTAGTTCGTTAAGAAATTCTTGATTGTTGCGAAGTGATACGATACACAAGGGACATCTTAAGAATTTGTCATTGGAGGATTGAAGAAAAATTTTAAACAATACAACCTTATCTTGTTTAAAATAGTGAATATCGAAAATTGTGAAGGGGTACTGTATTTTTTATCATGTAACCTTTCATCATTGTACTTGTCAATAGTAATTTCTAAACTAATTTCAGCTTAACTATAAATGTCAGTGAAATTGTATCTAGTTGCGTACAAGTGAAATATTATAAAGGAAATAAAGCATTTGAGCTGCTTATACTTAAATCGACCACTTAGACTTTAATATCGTAAATGCCACGGAACTTGTCGTGATGTAATTATTACATGAGTGAGACTTGGAATATAATCGTCACTTTACAGTCCGTGCTAGATATTCTTGAATCAAAAGGCACGCGGGTAAATGCCTTGCCTAGAATTGGTATGAAAATGACGTTTTGTTCAGGAAATGACAATCTTCGTTACACTTTGCATAACCTAAAAATTTATCCCTAGTAGCATAGGATAATTTCTAAATATTTCTTTGTGATCTTTTACTAAGTATCTCAAGCGACAGATTCTTTAAGATTTCTTGTAGATTTCATTCGAAGATATTTGAAATATTTGTTGAAACTCTCAATGACATATTTAGTTTCAATAATTTATAAACATATAGAGAAATTATATTTTTTAATTTGTGAACGTATTAAAAATACATTTTTTATTTCACGACTATTATCGGACACTTCATTTGGTAACAAAAAATACGAGGAATTTTTCTAATACTTTCGTTCCGCTATTTTATTATGGGAGCAAAACGTGTGATTTTGATTTTAAATATTTTTAAAACGTTTATAATGTAGATAATATTTAAAAAATACTTGTATTAAAATGAATCGAAATGTTTCGTACATCTGGTAGAAAAATATTATGAAAACACATGCAGGTAATATTATATA